GTATGCTTGATAACAAAAATACCCAACATCATCCAGTATACATTGTTAACATCCGATATCAACATCAAGTTAAACAAACCAAAAGTAAATGTGACCTTCAGTATACAAACATCAAGTTAAACAAACCAAAAGTTAAACAAACATCCAGTATACATTGTTAACATCTCATATCAACATCAAGCTAAACAAACCAAAACTAAATGTGACCTCTAGTATACAAACATCAAGTTAAACAAACCAAAAGTTAAACAAACATCCTGTAGGCGTCTAAAAATGCCTATGGGTGCCCGCACACAGCTCAAGACAAAGAGAAGGTGATGAACGTCGTTATCCAAATCAAAGAGGATTATCCAACGCCGACAAGCGCATGAAGCGAATCGGCAAACTGTTGATGACACGACAACGAACCACCACAATGGAAAACACCAAGTGGACCGCACGCGTTAATCAACTCAAAGCGTACAAACGCACCCAACAGTCAATTAACACGCACGCATCATTCAGCTCGTGCATGTCAATCAGTGCGCGCGTCAATCAGTTCACGATGGCGTCAATCAACGTACATTAATCAACTCGCGTAGAGCATACAAGTCAACACGACGGATGAGTAAAACGGGAGAAACTACAAGTCCCGGAAGATCGGAAAAGTCGTAAAAACACAAGAAATCAGCGAAACTCAGCGCGCCGCGCAGGACGGACCAAACCGACCCGCGCCCGTGCGGGTCGGAATGATCCGACCCGCGCAAGCGCGGGTCGGAATGATCCGACCCGCGGCGGCGCGGGTCGGAATCAACCGACCCGCGGCGGCGCGGGTCGGTTCCATCCGACCCGCGCAAGCGCGGGTCAGACTTGTCCTGCGCGCGCTGTTTTGACCCGGTTCGGTTTTTGATGGTTTTTCTCGAGATTTGTTGGTTCCAGATGTTCTTAACTGGCTTGAGATCATCCCCAAACGTGGTTAGGCTGTTGTTAACTGAAGATAGAGCCAAATCACTTGTTCTCATCCAAATAACCGCATTCGAGGCCTATAAATATGAGTCAAAGGCCTCCATTTTTCAAGGGGCGATTGATTATCAAGACGAGGAGGTGCTGCCGGATTGTGGAGTCAAAGGAGCACGAATTTCAGCGAGGGTTGACAGATCTTGGCGAGTTCTTCGGCATAAAGAAGGAGAGTTCGAGAGATCCGACGCCCGTTCCCGTCCCTTGAGATTAGGCTTGGTCTTAATCTCGAGAAGAGCCCTGATTTCGCTTGGTCGATCTCAGCGCTTCAAATCAAATACTTCCTCGGCGAAGGCGAAGCTCTGCCAAATTTTTCATCAACCGGATCCAGATCTAAGGCGGTCCACGGATAAACCCCGGCACAGGCAAAGATCACACGCAAGCAGAAGACCGATAAACGATCTCTGCGTTTGTTTTGACGAGAGTTGTAAACTTTTGTTTTCATTGTGTAAAAGTCTTATAAAAAGACAATCTTTTTTTGTTTTCATTGTAACGATTGAAGTTGTAATGAATACCGCAATGAATACATCAATTTTCGACGCAAACAAACTGGCGACCACAGTGGGAGCCAACAGCTTCGCTGCCGGAGCTGTCGTGTCGCAACCTCGGATCTGCATCCCGGTTGAAGAAGTGGTCGAATACGAGTTCGACCAACTGAAGTTCGAGGAATATCTGTCGTCCTCCTCCTCCAGATCCTCCGCCTCTCGCAAGCGAAGGAAGATCAACGCCCCCGTTGTTACGGTAGCTGAACCTTACAACGCCCTTCCGGCCTCCAATGAGTCCGGATCTGCAGATCTGAACTCCTCCTCAATCAAGGAGTTGAGTACAGAAGGCGCGCCTATTTTATCAAAGAGAACTCGTCAAAGGCAGCGCCAACGTTGTGCGCGCCAACTCGCTAGAGCCTTGGAGTCAATTGACGGGATCCGTTATGAGGCGGATCTGAAAATTAGGCAACGTCAAGCGCCCCAACAGCGGAAAAATGCCCTCTCCTCCAAATCACCAACAAGTGAATGGGTACAAGTCAAAAGGACCCGTTCAACTCTTGAAGAGCGGATCAAAAAGCGTCGCGTACTGCTTGCGCGCGCGCGAATTCTTGCGCAAGAGGTCAAAACCCGCCAATTTGCAGGTCACTCCAATCCGACCCGCCAATTTGCAGGTCACTCCAATCCGACCCGCCAAAACGCAAGTCACTCCAATCCGACCCGCCGATTTGCAGTTCGCTCCAATCCGACCCGCCAAAAAGCAGGTCACTCCAATCCGACCCGCCAATTTGCAGGTCACTCCAATCCGACCCGTCAAAGTGAAGACAGAAATGAAGTTGGCTATCCAACAAATGAGAGAACTGTTAACTCAACAGCCTCAACCTCCTGAGTCCAATCAGCGATTTGAATCCAGCCACCACACTCGGAATGTTGTAGATGACAGTGATCCAGAGGTGGATGAAGTCATTATGGCTGATACACCTCCCAATGGCAATAACGCTGGGGGTGGTTTAACGGATCCTCCCAATAACGATATTGGGGGTGGTTCAATAGCACCTCTCACTGGGGGTGGTCCAATTATCTTTACTCGACATCATTCAGAAATAAATGGAGACGATGACGGGAAAATGCAAAAACTTGAAGACAAAATCAATGCTTTGATGACGGCTCAAGAAGTTAAGAAGACGGGTATTCCATGTCCCTATCCAAGAGAATGGAATTCAATACCGTACCCGGCAAAATTCAACATGATTAACTTCACACCGTTTGACGGGAAGAACTCGCCTATTCAGCACTTGATTTATTTCAAGTCTCATTTGGGCATGATCTCTGGAAACGAGGCTTTAATGGTCCGGTCATTCGTTGGCACCCTTCGCGGGTCGGCCTTCGATTGGTATCGACGGCTCAAGCCAGGGAGCATCAATTGCTGGGATGACATAGAAAATTTGTTCCTCAGCAACTTCTTCGATGATGACACCGAAGTGTCAATCGGAACCCTTCTGGATGAAAAACAAAAAGACGGGGAGTCAGTCGACAATTTTGTCAAGCGCTTCCGTAACAAGGCAATGAATTGCAGAGATCCTGTTACAGAGGAGTTCATTCTGCAAACATGCCATAATAATCTCTCTATCGATGTCCTGGAAGCTCTGGGGGTCGTACCATCCAAAACTTGGAAAGATTTGAAAATGCGCGGTGAACAAGCTGAACACTTTCTTAAAAGAAAGAAAGCTGAGAGAAGCCGACCGACGACATCTGCAATCACTGGGAACGCGACTCCCGATCCGAGGTTTCAAAAGGAGTATTCTTTCGAAGATGATGAAGCTCCAGCCATCTTGGAATACCTCCTCGCCAATGACAAAATCGAGCTACCACCTATTAAAGATCAGGATGGAGCTAAGAGGATTACGGATCCAAACTACTGTGCGTACCACAGAAGGGTTCTTCATCCCACTGAGATTTGCTTCGGACTCAAAAATAAAATCCAAGCATTAATTGACTCCGGCGTCATAATGGCGAAACAAGCCGATTAAAAATAACCTACTCCATCGGATACATGAGTATAAACTGTTTTCCCCTACTCCATCGGATACACGAGTATAAACTGTTTTCCCCAACTCCAGTGGGTGCACGAGTATAAACTGTTTCCCCACACTCCAAAGAGTATACGATTATAAACTGCTTCTCGATTATCCAACTGAGTATAATGTTAAACCCGGTTTCGCAAAGGAAGCTGGGGGTGGATAAATCATATAACGGGAAGTTCCCGGAAGAATGTTAAATGTAATATTCTTAGGGATAACCCCGATCATTATGTAAACACTACATCCCCACGGTGACTTCTGAATATTCTTTTGCTGAGATGAGATTCGATCACCTCTTTAGATCAATCTTCCCTCATAAAATTCCCATCTTGGTCAAACCTTTAAACAGTTAGGACCAAAGCCAAAATCCCCTCTCGATTCCTTCCATGAACGAGAGGTCCACAAATTGAACGATCAAACCTTTAAACAGTTAGG